GGGGGGGGATGGGGAGGACGATGGTGATGGACGACAATGGGAGGACGATGATGGAGGCCGATGAGGGGGAGGACGACGATGGGAGGACGATGATGAAAGGACGAGGGGGGGAGAGGGAGGACGAGGAAGAACAGGAGGAGGAGGAGGGAGGAGGAGGAGGAGGGCGATGACGACGAGGACGAGGACGAGGAAGAGGAGGGGGGGAGGAGGAGGAGTCGGAGGAGGAGGATGAGATCGCCATCGACAGGGAGGGTGGGGGCCACGAGGTCCGCCGGCTCGACGACGCCCGCGTCGCCCGCGCCCGCCCCCTCACTCTTATCCGCGCTTGCGGGGTGCTGCGTCTAAAAACTGAATTCTACATTTCTGTGGCTCTTTAAGGAGGCCGACGGGCGCGTCGACTTCTCTATTGCGGGCGCTACAGACCCCCGACGCGCGCGCGCGTCGGAGTTCTTTGTTGTGCACAAGAGAAAAGTCGATATGCAATTCTTAAAACTGAATTCTAAAATTCTGTGGCTCTTTAAAGAGGCCGACGGGCGCGTCGACTTCTCTATTGTGGGCGCTGCAGACCCCCGACGCGCGCGCGCGCGCGTCGGAGTTCTGCGTTGTCCACAATAGAAAAGTCGACATGGAAGTTTATAAACCGAATTCTAAATTTCTGCGGCTCTTTAAGGAGGCCGACGGGCGCGTCGACTTTTCTATTGTGGGCGCTACAGAACCCGCGCGCGCGTGTCGGAGGTCCATAGCAGGCTGGGCCCATCTGTCGGGCCGCCCTCCGTCGCCGTCGCGCCGCGCGCGGGGGGTGGGAAACAGGCTGTGCATCTGTCGCGGCCCCGCCGGTCGCTGTCGCACCGTTGGCCAGGCCGACATGCGCAGCTATGTGCAATCCATGCGTCTGGCCACCCCCCCGTCGCCGTCGCGCCGCGCGGGGAGGTCCGGAAACCAACGAACTGTCTATCTGTCGCGGCCTCGGCGGCCGCTGTCGTACCATCGGCGAACGTGCCTGGTTACGTGCTGCGCATCTGTCTGGCCACCCGCCGTCGCCGTCGCACCGAAGATATTGCGCGCCACGCATGGTTGAACTTCGCTGTCCACGGCGCGCCCATCGCACATCGCACAACTTTATGCAATCATGTCTCAATAGTTCCGCGCGGCGGACAGATCGTTGTTGCGCATCCGTCCGCGACGGGCCCGTCGCCGCCGCATCGGGGAGATCAGATTGGAAGGCGCCCCCTCATTAAATCTCGCCCACGGGGAATGCTAAATCGCGCCCATGGAGAAGATGAATCGCACCCGCTGCGAAAATCAATCGCACCCGCGGAAATGAATCGTGGTCGCGGAAAAAATGCATCGCGCCCACGGAAAAATAAACCGCGCCCGCGGAGAAAATAAATAGCACCCCCGGGGAAAATAATCGCGCCCGCGGAGAAACAATCGCGCGAGGGGAGAACGTAGATCTCGCCCGCGGCGAAGAAAACGCATTCACGGAACATTGAATCGCGCCCGCGGAGAAAATCGATCGCGTCCACGGGGAAAATAAATCGCGCCCGCGGAATAAACACAACCGCGCCCGCGGAGTAAAAAACAATAGCACCCAGGGAAAATGAATTCGCGCCCGCGGAAAAATCGCGCCCGCGGAGAAAAAACAATCGCGCCTTCGGAGCAATAATCGCGCGCGCGAAGAAAATAAATCGCGCCCGCGGGGGGGGGGAACCGCGCCCGCGGAGCAAATCAACCACAACCACGGAGAAACTGATTCGCAGCCGCGGAGAAAATAAATCGCGCCCGCGGAGAAAATCAATCGCGCCCACGGGGAGAACGCACCCCTGGGGAAAATGCATCGCGCCCGCGGGGAATGTCCATCGCGCCCTTGGAGAGAATAGATCGCACCCATGGGGGAAATAAATCGCGCGCGCAGAGAAAATAAATCGCACCCGTGGAGAGAATTTTCCCAAACGCAACCTCACCTTCCTGCGAGACGGGCGCCAGAGATGGGCATCTGCCCGATGCAATCGCGCCCGCACTTGGCGCCGCGCGCAAGCACGAGCGAACGGAACGGAATCTACGACCGCCGCGTTGGTAAGCGCCGCCCCGCGCGCGCGACAACCGCCATGTGCGTGCCCGACCCATCCTATAGCAATGACTGCTATAACAAGGACTGGCCCTTTCGAGATGACACATGGCGCGGTGACAGTTGCCCCCCCCCCCCGCCCCCCCCTCCCCGCTCCGCCGCCGCCCCGCCGCGCGCGCGCGCACGCGCGCAGCAAACCGCGCGCCCCCGCCGCCCCCCCCCCCGCCACCACTTCGAGTGCGTACGTACGCACACACATACAAACACCCACACATGCGTACACGCACATGCATGCATGCTTGCATGCACATACAACTATATACATACAAATGTGTGTGCGCGTGTATATACACATGTACGTCTGTGTATAAAACTACGTATCTCCCCAAACAACACCCGCACTTAGCACCGCGACCACGCATGCACACCGCC